AATACGTTTCCTTGCAGTAACAACACTAATTCGGCTGACTTTTATATTTGATCCAATTGGTAGATAGGCTGTATTTACATCTGCCATATGTCAGATGCAGTGACTCACCTAGAGTCACAACTTTTAAGTTTTTTAAGCTACAACCAAGGCCTATATCATGTAAATAGGTTATGTGCTGGTATGCAGATTGTATTACCTTTGGATAGAGAGCATTTATTGTTATCTTCCCTCCCTTGTTCAAAGATAACCTATCTATGCTCGTCAATTATTGGTAATAAGCAAATAAATTGATGTGTGATTTGCAATTTCCAGCTTCCAAACAAAGCTTTGTAATTTATGTTTTAATAGGAACGATACCAAATGGGTAGCATTTAGGAATTGATCGGTAAGTATCGATTACTTAGGCATCGATCTTCACGTTCCTAGATAGGGCAAAGACAATTACTCCATTCAGAGGAGCTAGTGTGTGTGTGTGTGTGTGTGTGTGCGTGTGCGTGTGCGTGTGCGTGTGCGTGTGCGTGTGCGTGTGTGTGTGTGTGTGTGTGTGTGTGTGTGTGTGTGTGTGTGTGTGTGTGTGTGTGCAGCAGTAGCAATATTGCATCCTGTGGAGACAAAGTTGTGTTGTCCTGTCTATGACACTTGAGACGGATACAACGATTGAGGAATTACAGAGTGTGAACATTAAGCTGCATATTGAGAAATACAGTGCTGAGAGCAGCCCAGCCTCCAAGTGACACACTCTCAAGGCTAAATGCATCAGCGGTGAATCACAAGTGTGTTGCTGCTGAAAAGAATAGGACATATTTTTGTCTTCAGACTGACTTCCTAATACTTACTGGGTATAATAAATATGACTGCACTGCAGTTCGGCAGAGGCTATGTTCTGTTTTCCTCGTTTACCTCCTGATCATCGCTTGTCTTCTCCTGGGAAGTAATGTGGCATTCAGATTGCAGAGAACATAACTCAATTTTTCGCGACGACCCGTACACTAGGGTTGCTTGGAGTTTATTACAGATTGAAAAAGACAATGTTCTGTTAGTCTGCAATACCATCCCAGCATATTGAGTTTGATCAGTTGCAATGGAACTCAATATTTAAATATGCAAACTTTTTGACTTTCTATGAACTCCTAGGATTTAACATACATACTTGTTGACTTTAAAGTCAAGATTGACAGTTCATTCGAATTATATGCAAATAATGTTATAGAAGGAAATTCAGAATCAGAACTACATTTCTAGAGGTTTTGGCACAGGATGGATTACAGCAGACGGACATGCTGTGTAGACTGGTTGGCAGCCAGTCAGAGTAAAGGATAAATGAAGAGTCTTACTTCTTGAAAATGGTAAGACAGAGCATCCAAAGGCACAAGAGTGGGAATTGGGCCAAAAAAGAGATATAACGCTGTGTTCCACACAACTCGAGGGTCGTTATTTTCCCAGTTGTGATTTTCAACCTCTGACCTCCAAGCGTTCCAGGTGCACAATGCCAAACGTAAACAAAAACCATGGCTGACTGTGACAAACTGATGTAACTGAAGACGTTTGAAGAAGAAAGAGTTATCATACTTCCTGGTTCCCAGAAAGACAGGAGAATTCAGGCCCATTCTGGATCTTCGCAGCCTGAATCTCCACATTGGTGCAGCCAGGCGATTGGTTCACAACCATCGACCTGAAGGACGCTTACTTTCATGTCAACATTTCTCCAAAGCACAGAAAGTATTTGCATTTTGCCTTCCAGGGGGTAGCCTACGAGTACAACAGGCTACTGTTCGGCTACTCCCTATCCCCACGCACGTTCAGCAAATGTGTGGCCACTGCACTCCAGCCGCTGCACGTCCATGGCATGAGAATTTTCTTTTCCCACGGGGCTATCTCCCGGAATTGAGCCTGTGGAGAACCTGACTGAATCCGTTCACCGTTACGACAGAAGGGTCAGACGAAAGTCCCTCCTCTTGTAGGTCTCCGCGGAGTTTACCAAGACTCTGGTCTCGGAGCTCGTGTCGCCCGTCCACAGGGTTCACGCCCGCCTCCGCCGTTATTTACCGTCGCCGGAGGGACTGGGGCATTGTGTGTTGCGTGTTGAGTGCACCCGACTCTTTTACCGACTGGACGGCAGTTAGGAAAGTACCGTCCTACTCTACCGACGACGTAGTGAAGAAGACACCTTACTCGTTCGGGAGAAAGGTGGTCATTGACATTCTTCCTATGGTTTATCTCGGGTTGGAGTTGGTCTGCAATAACGAGACACCCACGAGATAGAGGTATTTGTCGCGAGGAGGTGCGTTGCGCTTGGTCACCTTCCTTCAGCGCGAACAGTTTAGATACTGCACCGGACTATGTTGGTCCCTAACACCTCACACCCTATTTGGACGGAGTTTATAGGTCGTATCTAGCACTATCTGCTTAATTGTGATTAGTCTGTTAGGTGGGACAGAGTCGGACAGCGCGGAGGTGCGCGGTCCGGGTCTACCATGCGGGGCCTAACCGTGGACGAGAGAGCGCGGAGCCCCGGGGGGGGCTTCGACCCCTTGGGCGGGTCCCCGACCGGGTGGAAGTGTAGACACAGTAGGGACGTCATGGGTGCCTCGGGACTGCTTAGGCCGCCGATTGATGCCCTGTGACGTACTGTCTGCAAGGGCGGAGTGAGAGGGGGTCCCTTCCGCTCTACTCTACGTCGCCACCTTTTTCCCCCCACTGTGCGAGTTTTCGGTACCTCTTGGTGTCGTGTCACCGACAACGGCGGCCGACCGCTTGTCTAGGTGGGAGAGGACAGGCTGGCCGGGTCTAGATGAAGTGGTGAGGCCCACTTCGCCGGTGAGCAGACCGTCCCCCGGCGGGGAGCTGTACTCCAGCTGGGGGCGACAAGAGGCCTGGGCCACACCTCGGGAAGAGTCTTTATTGTGGTGAGACTTCGGGTATTGGTGTCACAAAGCGGAACACCACTTTGTTTGCGCCACCTCGCCTGAGGCGCGGACCGGACAACTATATAACGGTGACACCAAGACAACAGCGGAGCGACTGGTAAGTCCCACAGAGGGGGGTTAATTCTTCAAAGCTTTACGACTTCCGGATTGTGATGACGGCAGTTTTGAGATACTCCTCGCAACGACACGCACAAAGACAACTCTCTGTCCGCCGCGGTGGATGTTATTCTAGGGCGAAGTCCGTCCTTGAGAGGGGGGTGACGGACAAGAGACACGTTGGTGACACTACATCCTCCAGTCGGGCAGGCGTCCACCTCGGGGGAGGGCCTCCTCTAGTGCCGCCTGCGGGGTCTTGGCCTCAACGGGAGGTGCACTGCCCCCCTACCAGTGGTCTGCGAGCAAAACACGCGGGAACCCTAGGTTTGCCGTCCGACCTCTTTGGTGGAGACGTGCCGCCACGTATGACGTCATTCGCGACTCGCCCTTGGGTGTTTGCGACTCGGTCGGCCGGTAGCTCTGGGTCTCAGATATACTGGGTCAATTTCGACAGTGACAACCCGGGGCGTACAGCCGTCGGACGCTGCGCGCGGCGCTTGCGCCCTTGCCGTGCGACGGAGAGACTGTCCGCACCGCACGTCCGCCGGACGTAGCTCGTGGTGAGGCGTTTTATGTTACAGCAACCACTCCATAGCCGCCACCAGAAAAACGGTTTTAACTAGCGGTTCGGTTGAGCCAATCCACATCCTCGGTTAACAGCGAACACCGTTTTGTTAACCGGACAAGGGACCTGGACCGGTAGTCTGAAACTCC